AAAAAAAAAAAAAAAATATGAGAGAAAGAGAGAAAGATGAAAGAAAAAAAAGAAAGAAAGAAAGAGAAAAAGAAACTAAAGGAACAATGTGGGCCTAGGAGACCGTGGGTTCTTGATGTGCTAGTAAATGTCAAACAATCACTGTTTCAGGGGGAAAAATTTCTAATTGATAGTGTGTGCCAATTTCTGTGGTGTAAATACTACCGCCATGGCTGACGTCCAGCTTCCAGTGTGACATCTCTGAGGACAGAGTAGGAAAAAGATGTGCGGAATGCGCCTCGTAAGACAGTGCAGGCTGCATCCAGGCACCACCGGAGAGAATCGACTCGATGGAATCTTTCTCCCGATAAGCTTCTGTTTTGGGAACAGCTGCCTACAGATCTCTATTTGTTTTCAAAGCAAAAGAGAGTTATCTAAGTGGGCATCCTCTACGTGGAGGGCCGAAATGAGATGTTTAAAATACAGACTCATTTGATGCCCCCAGGAACATACAATTTTATAGATGAGGAAACTGAGTCTCAGAGAGGCTAAGTAACTTGCTTAGGGTCACAAGGCTTGTTCAGGGCTTGGGCCAGTCTGGAAATACTTTGCCTTTTCACTCACACTCCTAATTCCTTCAGTTACCGTCATCCCAGCTTAATACAACTTTAATTCTAAAAGCAGGTGCCCCTAAGAGCTGGGACTGCTGGCGTGACTAGAGGAGAATGCACACAGGCTTGGGAGCTGGCATGCCGCTGACCCGTGTCTGCAGGCACCCTCGCTTCTGACCATGGTGAAGCTGTTCCTTCTCCCCAGACAGTGGTTGTCAATTTTGTCATAAAATCATGGGGATTGGTGACTCCAATACTGTGAGGGAGACTTTATCTCACAGAATTGTTTCCCCTAATTTTATCTAATTTTCATATTCTGCACATTCTGTCTTTAGAACGCACAGTGGGCCAATCAGCTTCTCTGAGACTGTGGTCAGCCACTTTCCTCTTTTAGTGTCAGTTCGCCTTTCTGTACGTAATGAGGGGGCCAGCTGGAGGGCTCTCTGTGTCCATTCCAGATTGGGGCCAGCCCTTGATGAGGCTTTGTGTATACAGCAGGAGAGGGGGCACCAGTGCGTATTGAGGAATTGCGTGTCCTGGGTATGTTACATGTGCTCTCCACCTGACCTACACAACTCTCTGGGGAGGACTTTTGTCTAACTGGGGAAACCAAGACCAGAGCACTCACATAACTTGTTGGAGTTTGCCCAGCTGGCAGTGTTGGAGGCGGGACTGGAATCCAGGCGTTTGGAGCTAGAGCCTGTCTCCCAGCTACCGTGCCTTAGGCCTGAGGAAAGGGGTGAAGGGCTGCCTAAAGCAGAGACATTTTTTTTTTCTGGCAAGGTTATGTTACTTTGTTGTGTGCTAGAGGGTTATGCGTGTCACGGTTATTCAGTAGGTGGACTTACAGGTTTGTGGATAGGGTGGTGCACGAAAGGTGGGTCCGGATACTTGGGGTGCTTGGAACTTGCGTTCAGAGGATACATATTCTGAGCCGATTGTCCAGGTGACTTGAAAGGCATTCAGCGAAGAGAGGGGAAGAGTGGGGGGAGATTGGCACATCCGTAAACTGGTGGGGGGAGCACGTTCACCTCCCAGGGTGAGTGGGAGAACTAAGTGAAACTGACCACACTGACTGCACTCGGTCCCCTCTGTTCTCTCTGCTGGCTCTGTTTCCTTTGTGCCACATACCACGATTTATGCTTACGTATTTGTTTCTCCAAGTGCTTATCGTTCCCAGGGCAACTTTCTTATGATAGGGTTGATGTCTAGGGAGCACGTTCGCCTCCCAGGGTGAGTGGGAGAACTAAGTGAAACTGACCGCACTGACTGCACTCGGTCCCCTCTGTTCTCTCCGCTGGCTCTGTTTCCTTCGCAGCACATCCCACGATTTATCCTTATGTATTTGCTTCTCCGAGTGCTTATTGCTCCCAGGGCAACTTTCTTAGAATAGGGTTGATGACTATTTTATTCCTCAATGAAAAGTCATGACCTAGCAGGTGCCTGGCACGTAATGCTAGCTCAGTTAGTTAGAATGAATGGCTGAAGTTATTGTATATAAATTGGCACAGTAGAGGCAGCAGGGGGTCTGCTTCCAGGGGAGCCTGGACCATCCAGATAGTTATTTTGCCCCTAGGCACATACCAGCAACAATTCTCACTTTCTTTGGAAGCTCTTTAAGTCTCTCAGCTTCAATCACCAACCCCTTCAACACACACACACACACACACACACACACACACACCCCAAGTCCTCCAGCCCTGGTTCCAATCGGCCTGGTGCCAAGGAGGGAAATGTGACTTTGCAAAGCTGTTTGACAACAAAAGGGATCCACAGAGCCCCCAGAGCCCTAAAATTGCTATCTTAGATAGAGTTACCATAATCCAATTGGCTCCTCCCTCAGTGGTTCTCAGATGGGAGGAAGTGGTTTGAACAGGCTGTACTTATTTCCTTCAGAACACGTAGGGAGGTTGAGAGAGGGAGGAAGTTGATCACATGATGTGACTTCAATGCATATTTTATTGCAGAAAGAGAGGGATGGATGGATGGATAGATAGATGGACAGATAAATGTACAAACAGAACCCTTGGCTTGCTAAAAAGAACCGAATGGTTTGGTCTGAAATATGCTGGAAATCCTTGGGTATTTTAGGTTTCAGCCTCTCAGAGCTGGGAGAAATACATTCTTGATGAATGTCAAATAAAAACTTAAAACCCAGCAGCATCTATTAATGCAGGGCACTGATTTGGGTGTACTAGAATGAATAATTTCTGTCTTTAAGAAGGCTCATTGCCAGATTTCACAATTCAGAATGGGGAAGTTTTCTTCTGAAAGTGACTTAGGAACATTTTCTCCAGAAAGTGACTTTGGTTTGCTGCAATGCAAACCTGTCCATGTCTGTTTCACTTACATCAGATGGAGGAACAAGCAGAAATACATATTCAGAAAAATGGAGGAATGCCTTGCTCATTGCTTTAGCAGTTTAATCCATCATATTTATCACCGTTTATTAGCAGCTTTCTGCCTAGGAAATATTAAAGGGATTGGATATGTTTTAATTTTCTGATTTAGGAATGATATCAATAGCTCCTATTTAGTACTTACTATTTCCTACATATTACATGTAAACTTCTCTCAAACATATAAAGAAACTGGTCTTCTTTTTACAAGGAAAAAACGAACACTCAAAGAAGCGAAGTGACTTGCACAGAGTCACCGAGTTCTTTGGTGGCCGACCCAGAATGTTGACTCAGGTGCAGCTGATTACAACACAGTCTTTCTATACTGCCATCTTGCTGCTCTGATCTACATTCTAGATCTGTTGAAGATGAAGGAATCTAATTATATTTCAATTTGTCTATTCTATATGTTCAGAGCATATTAAGCACTCTTAAATAGCATTATTCTAAGTGGAAACTATTAGTTGCAACAAATTTGCCAGAATTTTTACCTGGGCTTACCTCTCCAGTTTTCAAAGGACCATAGCCCAGTTTAATAGACTCACAGCTGAGCATCTCATAGCAAACCACAGAATGACAAGTTGAAGACTATGGGGTGCATTGTTCCTAAAGTGAAGGGCACCACTTTAAACACAGGCCTCAGCCCTTCATCTGTGTGTTCTCACTGAGGTGCCCCCAACCCTTTAAAGCCCCTAGCTTGCCTCTACCTCCCGCCAGCTATGTGACTTGGATAAGCCACCTAGTTCTCTGAGCCTCATTTTCTCAGTTGTCAAAAGCAAATAACAATCATGAACCTATAGGACTCTTCTGAGGATTACAGAAAAATAACTTTTTCTGCATTGCTCCTCCCCCGTCACTCAGGATGGTAGATATCACCTACTGACACCCCTGTGCACAGCCCCAAGTGAGGATATTCTGAGGCCCAAGCTCAGGTCATTTCTTTGACACCAGGCTCTTGCCATATGTAGGCATCTAAAAGAATGTGGAGTGTGGCACATTCTTTAGAAAATTGCAGTTCTCCTAAATCTCTTCCAACTCTAACATGCTGTTTTCAGAATTTATATACTTCACATGTTTGCCTTTCCTTTGATTCCTCCTCTCCCCCACACACATGTCACCAGCTCAGAGTGTTATTAATTATCTTTGGCATCTTCCCAAAGAAGATCTGTACAGTCACACTCCAAGCAGCACTATTGCAATCTCTCAACCCACTTGGCTCCATATGCCTTTAAACATCATGGTTGCAGCCCGATAGCATTTACTGAACACCTGCTATGTGTCTGAAACTGGCCTGGGCACTTAGCAGTTGTCCATTTCTTGACTTTGCCCCATACTTTTGTGTGTTAGGTACCATCGTTGTCACTTTACAGTTGAGAAAATGAGGCCTGGAGAGGTTTAAATGACTCGCTCAAGGTCCCATAGCTGGAAATTCTGGTGGCAAACCCCAGTTGTCCTTTGTAAGAAGCCTGCTAAGTGTAGGCCTTTTTGGTGAGAATATCTCCTCTGGCAACGTCCTGCCCATGCTCCTCCAGCCTTTCTCCCCATGTAATTATGCATCCATCACCCACTAAGCCACTGCAGCATGCTGGGCACCAGGTTGGGGGCTGGGTTTCTCTAAAGACATTGCCCCACCTGTTCTCAGGGAGCTCCCTTCTGGCTCCAGAAAGTAAATCCTTGCCAACTGTGTGTTGAACAGGTCCTGAGTTCTCTCCCCACTCTGTCTCTGCCACCTCCCCCCAAATTACCTTCACACTCTGAGCATGACTCCTGTGGGAGCTGTCTGCAGAGAGATTGCTGGGTGCAGAGTCACTGCCTCTCCGTCTGTCAACTGCTGCTCCTCCGGAATAAACAGACAGTAGGGCCCCTCACGGGTGAGGAGAAGCAGCCCATGCCGCCCAGAAGAACTGCAGTTGCTAAACTGGTCGCATACTTCCTCTGCTAGGAATGAGGAAGGCACAGGGCTTGCAGAAGGGCAGGTTCCTGTTTTCAGTAACCACTCTGAGCAGGCTTCTCTCTGCAAGGACTGGGAAGATAGAGGCATTTGTAATTGTTTTACAAAGCACTTGAGAATATGGCCAGCTTCATTCTAGATTCTGGGAGTTCAGAAACTTTGTCTTCTCTCTCTAATTAAAAGGCAAAGAGATGGGGCTGTGAATTTGCTCCTGTGCATCACCGGAGCTTGCTGGGTCCACGAAGGCTGTGGCTGACTGCTGCTGCTTCTCTGATTTCAGTTTCCCAATTTTTGCAGTTCCCTTCTGTCACTGCTGCATGGACCCCAGAGCAGAGCTTCAAGATTAAAGGAGTGTGAAGAGACACAATGACTTGGTGCAATGTGTGGGTCCAGGGAAAAGAACTAGAAAGAACATTATGGGATGGGAGTTGTTTGAATATATACTGCCCAGTAGATAATACTGTTCGAGTGCTAAGTCTCTTGGACATGGTAATAAGGGTATGGGTTATGCAGGAGAATGTCTAGTTCTTCCAGGACACATGGTGACTAAGAGAATGTCTTGTATCATGATGGCTGCACCTTTCAAAAGTTCATTAAAAGAAGAGCTGCATCCCAGTGTCTACAGTCATTGTGTTGGTGCAAAAGTTATTGTGGTTTTTGCCATAAACGTCATGGCAAAACCCATAATCATTGTTGTACCAATCTAATACACCTATATCTGTATATATCAAGACACAGAAAGGGAATGAGAGAGACAGAAAGCAAACGTGACAAAATGTTACTACTTGGTGAATCTAGGTGAAGGGGATATAAGTGTGGATTATTCTACTCTTTGTGGTGGGTTTGATGTTAAAATACATGTGTCTCTGTTATATATTACAAAACGTATGTTGTATATGTTATAGGTTGTACAATTATTGTATATAAGATCTACCTACTTACAGTGTGTGAGTCTCAAGCAGAGAAACCCAGGCACTTGGGGCATCAGAGCTTATTGGTGAAAGAGGTGAAAGTTTCTGGAATGCTGACCCCAGGATTCCCTGGGAATTGTGTGCTTGAGCTTGGAATGCCAGGTAACCATGCTGGGATGGCCTTCAGAGCCCCTCACAGCCCCTCATACCTCACAGAGTGGACAGAGCATCAGAGACTTGAGTGACCTGCCCATAATCACACAGCTAGTCCCCAAGCAGGGCCAGAGCCTGAGTCTACGGCTGGGGACCCAAGCCCCAGTCCAGCGAGGCCGACATAGCCACCCTGGGACAGTCATTTGGAAACCTCACTCGGCATAGTTTGCAAAGATGAATCAAAACCCTCAGAGCTGCTTCTAAATTTAGCAGGCAGGCACTCTGCACTAGAGATATGGTTCCTTAGAACTTGTGGAAACACCCGCTCGCAAAGAGCATGCCGGGAAGGTGCAAAGGAAATATTGCAAAAGGCTCAGTGGGCAGTTTGCTTAACAGGGAAGAGGGGACAGGCAGAAATATGCAGAAGTGGAGACTTCCCCCCAAATTCACACAGAGGAGTAAAAAAGCTTTGGACTTATAGTTAGAGGTATGAGCTTTTAATAGACACTTACCAAGGATCTAGTACAGATGAGGCTCTGAATTTATTCCCTGACATTTCTTTAGTAGAGCTTTGTAGAGCTTTATAGAGCAAGGCATGTTCCAGGAACTGGGATTTAGCTGTAAACAAAAGTGCAAAAACCCTTCCCTTCCTTGTGCTTAACTTAACTTGAAGGAGACTACCGAGACATGGTGACTCGGTGCAATGTGTGGGTCAAGGGAAAAGAACTAGAAAGAACATTATGGGATGGCAGTTATTTGCCTATATACTACACAGCAGATAATACTACTTCCCACAGGAGGAGTGGTCATATGGGAAAGACTGAATATGTGACTATCAATTATGATGACCCATCGAGGAAACTTAATGGGTTGATGGGACGGAGGGGCCCAGATGTGCTACTTTGCACAGGTGGTCAGTTGTGTGGGGGGATGTACTCTCTCTAGAGGTATCATTAGGCTGAGAACTGTAGGAAGAAATGAAGCCAGTCCTGGGACAAGCTAGGGCACAAGAGGTGTGTGCAAAGGGGCCGCTGGTTTAACACAAGCTGTAGAAGTTTTGGAGGAAGACACAATCAGGTCTAAAGATGCTCAAGTCAAAGGCAGAGGCAGGCAAGAGAGAGGCCCATAGAGTGGGTTTCCTGATCAAGGGCACAGGAGGAGCTGCTGAAGAAGGAAAAAGGCAGATGCGGAGCCCTGGAGGTCGGGGCTGGAGGCTGTTCTCTGCCTTTTGCCAGTGGGTCATTGGGTGACTGGGGTGCTGCTGCTAACCTTCCCCAGGCCCCAGCCCGGGGTGTTTATGACCTCCCGTTCACCTCCTGGGGTAACTGAGGAAACTCAATAGGTTTGAGAAAGTGCTCCTCATACTGGGCACTATGCTGTCCTGAAGCCTGGGCTATGCCAGAGCAGGGGGATGGAATGGAGGTGTTGGCCCTGGGCTCAGCCAGAGAGGGCAGGGCCGAACCTTGATGCCATGCTAGACAGGTGACTCAGGTCTTAGGCCTCTGTTTTCAGTAACCCCAAGGGGGTTCTCAATCTCAGCACTTTTGACATTTTGGATCGAAACATTTTCTGGTGTGTGTGTGTGTGTGTGTGTGTGTGTGGTGGGGTTGCAGGGCTGGCCTGTGCATTGGAGGATGTGCCATGGCATCTCTGGACTTGACCCACTAGATTGTGCTCCATGGCATGCATCTCAGAAGCCTGCTGTATAGCAAGGCGTCTTTGGGTGGCTGTGTCACCTGTCCTTCCTCTCTGCAATCATACATGTGACCTGAGAAGAGGAACTGGTTTGTGGTCTGTTCAGGAATCCCTGGGAATTAGGGCTTAGAAGCTCCAGTATGGGCAGCCTGTGAGCTGCATCTTAAAGGAGGAGTACTTTGCTGTCAAGAACTAGGGTGAAAGCATGTGAGCCATGAGCTACCTAAGCACAGTAGGGGAAGAGCAGGAGGTGGACTTCTCACTGCAGAGGCCCAGCCAAGAAGGATTGTATTGTGAGTTCATTCCCATGTCTTCCCTGCTGCTCCACCACCCTAACCATTCCTCTCCCAGCCATTTTCCATAGTTCACAAACCTTTTTCTCCTAATCCATGAAATGTCCCAAGTCCAAGAAGGTTGTCATTTATTCAAGCATGCATTTCATGCTCTATACATTCAGTCATTCATTCAACAAACGTTTGTTAGCACTCACTGTGTGCCAGGCACTATGCATGTAACTGTACTATGTGCCAGGCAAGATGAGGCCCGACCCTCAAGGAACTCAAAGCCAAACACTCTTTATCCCAGTTTCCCAAGCCCAGCACAAAACAGTGTTCATTACATATTTACTGAATTACTTAATGTTGCCAACATCTATTGTAAACTTCTTGTGTATATAACCTATACTCAGAGGACAGATGGGGAGAGCATTCTCAGATAGAACCTGAATGTGTCTCCATCCCTCCCTGCCCTCAAGGAGTTTCTGATCTAGCAGAGGAGACAGACACACATATCAAAACCTCAGGGTGTAAAGAAAGATGTCAGTAGGGTGAGGGCCAGGTGAGGAGACCAAGAAAGCTCCAGGGCTCCTGGTTTCACACGGGAACTTCATGGCACTGAGGCGTGGCGGGACCATGTTAGATTCCATCCCAGCAGCTTGGTCTTTGAGGTCTATGTACTGAGTTGGCACAAGAAGCAAAGACAAAAACACTTAGCAGGTGGTGCCCCCACCAAGGACCTCAAGTGTAAGCATGGGGTCAGCCCAGGCTCTGCTGCACTGGCCGGATGACAGCATCAGGAGGTCGGGCTTTAGGGCTCACAAAGACACCCAGTACCATCTGTGTAGGAAGCAGCTAATTTCCAGAAGGCTTTGCAAACTAGTTAGCTACAGGGGCCCAGACTAATGGCCATAGGCAAATAACAAAAATGCCAGCCATGCATCGATTGATAATCACTCAATCAAGCACTAGGATGTGGTCATCACCTTCATTAAAGTGAAGTGCTCCTCTATGTAAAAACTAGCTTTACACACTTAACGTTGTCAGGAGCCAGTGGTTGTATTTCTCCAGTTGGGGGTTGACGGTCTCCCAAGGCAAGCAATAAAAAGCCACTTCTCCAGCTTCAGGTCTCAGAGGAGCTCCAGGTTCTAGGAGGTTTAGAGCTCCTAAGGCAATTCGGCCTCACTCAGCAGATGTGATGTTGAAGCCCCACACTGGGTCAGAGGTCACAGCTTGGTCCAGTATGAGCAGATTTCCAGTCCTACTTTATAGCTTGATTTTTTTTCCTCTTTCAACATAAATGTTAAAAGTTTGGAAGAAGAAAAAGGAAGTCTTGAAAACTAGAAATCTTTCTCTTAATGGAGAAAATCAAGTGTAAACTAATTTATTTGGTAGAGAAGTTCAATACCACTTATTGTATGCAAGGCGTTATGCTTGGTGCTATAAAACTGTTGATGGGATTCTCATATCAAACCCTATGACCTTCAAGATCCCATGCAAGACAGAAGTTCTTGAGAGTAAAGTTTTGCCCCCTCTATGGCCAGATAAGTCTGACCCACTCATTCAATAATTTAAGTTTTTTGGGCCCCTTTTATGTATTAGGCATTGCTCTGGTTACAGAGTTATAGAAATAAATGAGTAAAGTCTTAGAAGGGAACTGAGGGTGTGGGGACAGCAAGAGGAACTCTCCCCTTAAAAGTGTGACATTTGAAATGAGTCCAGAGTGACTCTGGCATAAAAATCAAGACGTAAAAACACCAGGCAAAGGACATTACAACTGCCAAGGTCTGGGGCTAGAAATGCTTGTGTTCAAGGAGCAGACAGGAAGGAAGGGAGGACGGGCAGGGTGGCTCACGCCTGTAATCCCAGCACTTTGTGAGGCCGAGGGGGACAGATCATGAGGTCAGGATATTGAGACCATCCTGGCTAATACAGCGAAACCCTGTCTTTGCTAAAAATACAAAACATTAGCCAGGTGTGGTGGCATGTGCCTGTAGTCCCAGCTACTCAGAAGTCTGAGGCAGGAGGATCGCTTGAA